ATAGTCTTTTGTTTGTTTGATTGATTTTTAAATCTATGACAGTGGGAATTTCCCAAACTTGGCCAGCTTTTCCTGGGACCTAGCACTAGACCTTCCAGGATCTCTGTAGTTGATTAGGCTAAGGACCTCCATATCCCTCCCAAAAGACTCCTCCAAAAAGACTTCTCCCTCTAGGTCATAAGGAGGGGAGGACGGATGTTGTATTTTACAGTATTAAGCTTCCCCATCTGTACTGAGGAGTGGAGGCTAGACCTGGGTTGCAGATGGGGCAGGCCCCTGTGGGTGACGGTGGGTCTCACCAGCCCCAGGCAGTCCAGCAGAGTGGCTCCAGTGGAGGCAGGGCCTGAGTACACATAAATGAGGTTGTTGGAGGAAGCATGAGGCCCTAGCCACGCTTACAGATGAAGTCTTGCCATGCTCTTCCTTCTAGGCTCCGAGAGCAGCCCAGAGGATACATGTGGGCTTTGTCAAACTCTAAGTGCAGGGAGGTCCTGGACAAGTGCATTTTCTTTTTCTTTGTGGTTGCTAGAGGGCACGTGTGCTTACTAGAGAGAGGGCCCATGCACCCACTGGGGTGTGTTACACCAGAATGCCCTTTCCTGCATTTCTCTGTCCCATTAGGGTTTAGTATATGCATACATACACGGTCCTGGTGTGTTTTTCTTTTTGTAATCATTATTTTTATTTAACTTTTATTTGCTTACTTTAGAGTGATACAGAGAAAGAGAAAGAAAGTGAGAAAGCAAGTTGCCAGGTCTGGAACTCGAACCACGGCCGGCCATGTGGGAGTCCAGCACCCTTAACCACCAAGCCACCTGCTGGCCCCCTGGTGTGGTTTTCAAGTCTGAGATTGGAACCATGGTCTACCCTGTGAGACTTGGCTCTCAATTAACAGTGGTGAGGGCTTTTTTTCTTTTCTTTTCTTTTCTTTTTTTCTGCTATAGAGCTTGTGCGCTCGCCAGAAAGACAGAGAGAGACATAGAGACAGAAAGCCAGAAAGCGAGAAATCACCCCCCAGGGGTTATGGCCACACCGCAATCCCTTCTCCTCTCAATATCTTGGGCATGCACGCACAGCACCTGGCGTGAGTTTAAGCCACCGGGTCTGGGACTCGAAACACAGTTGACTACGTGGGAGTCCAGCGACTTAGCCATTACGCCAACCGCTGGTCCCCCATAAAATAGGTTTATTTTTAAGAGGACTCTTTTGGCCAAATAAACTCAAGGGTGTGGCGGTGAGGCAGCGTCCCTCACTGATCTGAATGTCAGCATCTCAGTGAGTTTCCCAGCACCCATCCCTCCCACCCTTCCGGAACTACATAGCTCCGGTGAGGTGCAGTTACCCCTTCCTCTGGATGAACATATGTTCAGGGGACGCTGGCCCTGGCCCCACACTCCAGCCATCTCAGTCCCCCATGATGGTCCCAAGTGCTTGCTCACGATCAGCTGAGGCATGGGCAAATGACATAGTCCGGCCAACTGAACCCCAAAGGGACACAGCGAGGGGATGTCTGGCCAGCTCCCTCGCTCATAGAGACACAAGCAGACGCTAGCTCTTTCTCTGCTTCTGGTGCGACACCGGAGCTCCTGCAGCCACCACAAGGAGGGCTGGTCCACAACCGAGCCCATGAGGCGAGGAGGCCTGAGCTGGGAGAAGTACAGCTCGAGCCCTGACCACCCTGGGCTTCTTGGGAGAGAGCTCTGCTCTGGGGCAAGCCTGGTGAGTCGGACTTCTCTTCTCACCATGGAACGTCAGCTGGTACGACTGTGCATGAGCTCCTTCCCTCATTTCTCCTGTAGCCATGAGGATTTTGACTCAACTACACAGGAGTCAACTGCTTGGGACAATCAGAAAAGAAGGTTCTGGGGAGTGAGAAGAGGAAGGGAGAGAAGAGGGCAGTGTAGCCTGGGGAGACGGGGAGATGCACGAGTGCTCACCAGGCGCTGACGTGCACTTCCGGGGTGGAAGCTGACCACGCCCTGGAATCAGAAAAGGAATGAACATTATATATATGTTGGCTAGAGGGTGCACGCCATTGCCTGAGAGATACAGAGACAGAGAGAAAGGAGAAAGCACCCCCTAGGGACAAGCTCACACAGCCACGTCTTCTTCACTTCTCCCTCCTGCTGGGAACTGGGGAATGTGTGCACATGTGCTGTGTGGTTTCAGACTGCAGGGTCTAGTACCAGAACCATGGAGTCAGCCATCTGGGACCTCACTGCCTTAACCACCAGGTCATGAAGCTGCCAGCAGGTGGCATAGTGGTTAAGGCACTGGATTCCCATAAGGCCGACTGCAGTTCGAGGTCTGGACCTGGGAGCTTAAAACTCTCACTCGGCGTGTGTGTGTGCATGCCCAAAATCTTGAGAGCAGAATGGAGGAGGAGCAATTGCATCCCCCGTGGGTGGTGATTTCTCATTTTCTCTCTGTCTCTCCAGCGAGCACACATGTCCTATAGCAAAAATTTCTCTCTTAAAAAAAATGTGTTGGGACCAGCAGTTAGCGTAATGGCTATGTCGCTGGACTCCCATGTAGTTGACCGTGGTTTGAGTCCCGGACCCAGTGACTTAAAACATGCTGGGTGTGTGTGCGTGCGTGCCTAAGATCTCGAGAGGAGAGTGGAGAACGGATTGCGGCGTGACCATCCCCTCTGGGGGGTGATTTCTCGCTTTCCGTCTCTCTGTCTCTCTCTGTCTGGCGAGCACACGCGCTCTGTAGCAAAAACCTCTCAAAAAAAATGTGTAAATGGGGCCAGCAGGTGGTGTGGTGGTTCAGGGCACTGGACTCCCACATGGCTGACCTGGTTCAAGTCCCGGGCCTGGCAGCTTGCTTTCTCACTTTCCATCTCTCTCTCCTACTCTCACTCTCTCTCTGATCAAATTAAAATAAATAAAGTTAAATAAAAAAATATTTTAAAAATGTGTTTAAAATAATCTAAAAAAGGGAAAAGAGCACTGACAACAAAAATAAGTTTGTGAAACATGTAACAGGGCACCTGCACTTGCTAACGAGACAGAGACAGAGAGAGGGGGAGGGAAGCACCTCCCCAGTGGGGTGTGGTTATGCCACAATCTCTTTTCTTCCATTTCTCTCTCCTGTGGGATTTGGGGCACATGTGCACATGTGTCCAGAGCATTTTTCAAACGTCTAGGGCCAGCAGGTGGCCACGTAGGATCTGGTTTCTTTAACTACCAGGCAGGCCAAGGGGCCAGTCCAAGCTAATTTAAAAATTAATAATAACTGTCTTGCGGGAACCAGCAGTTAGCGTAATGGCTGTGTCGCTGGACTCCATGTAGTCGACTGTGGTTCGTGTCCCGGACCCGGTGGCTTAAAACTCACGCCGGGCGCGTGTGTGTGCGTGCCCAAGATCCCGAGAGGAGAATGGAGGAGAAGGGATTGCGGCGTGATCATCCCCCCTGGGGGGTGATTTCTCGCTTTCTGTCTCTATGTCTCTCTCTGTCTGTCTGGCGAGCGCACGCGCCCTACAGTGAAAATCTCTCCAAAAAAAATAAAAAATAAAAAATAAAAGCACTGACCGTTTGGATATAACAACAGACACACAGTGTCTTCAGCAAAGAGACAGAAGGAATCAGAGTAACGAATAGGGGTCCGTGGAGAGTTCGAAGCAAGAAGAGACAATGAAACGGAACTGACTATACTCCTGATCGCAAACCTCAGGTGTGTCAAATGCCACTTTTAAAAATGTTTAGTGTGCGCACGGTGGCGCCCGCCCGATGGTAAAAAGTGTTTAGTGTGTTGCTTTATTTATTTATTTATTTATTTATTTTTATGGTGGGGGAGAGGGTTTTGCTATAGGGCGCCTGTGCTCGCCAGAAAGCCAGCGAGTGAC